TTGCCAGCTGCCTAAGTCACCCTCAATCTCTATGGGTAGGCCAAGGTGTGGCTCATAGGTAATATCGCTTTGTCAAATTTAGTACATAGGAGGGCACAATCAACACCATTCTTTGCTACTACAAGGAATACTCTAGATTATTCAAAATAAATATATGGAATACCCTTCTTAAATCTCTAAATAGCTACTTATTCAATTCATTGGACAAGGTGTAGAGTTTTCAAAGCTCAAAGAATCGAATCCTAAGAGAAATATTCAAGCAGGTATCATTGAGGCGTAATGATTTTCTAAGTTTAAAGGAGCCTGGATATTTAAGGAAATCCTAAAGGAATCCGAATCCTTGGGAAAATCCTACAAGTATTCATCACCATATTAATACTTGCATTGCAACTTTACTTGCATCACAGTTGTCTTCCTCAAAAGCCACACCACAATATTCCCTATGTCCCAACCATCTCTTTCAAACCAAGTTGTAATATTGCTTGCACTGTAACCATTTTGTTAAGATTATTGCTCTAACATAGCTTACGTCCCAATCATCTTCATTAAGATCTATGTCGCAACCTCGTCTCATAGTCATCATGTTTAAAGGCCTACCCCACAATCTCATTTCTCATAGTTGCTCCCTTGAGACCTTATTTGAATCATAATTTCCACCATAACTTAGTCTGCATTGTAGTTGTCATTGTATAAAGACCTACATCATAATGTCACCTGGGCCATAGCATCTCCCTCAAGACCTACGATGTAAACTAAAGCAGTAGTCATCTTCACATTAAGATCAGCACAGTAAACTTGCTTACTTCACAGTTCTCTCCCTTAAAACCTTAGTTGCAATATTGAATTGCATCCATAGTTGCATCAAGAAAGAGAGGAGACCTAGGAGAGGCTCCACCCGAATTACCCAACAGCCCGCTCCGGCGAGCTCTTGGTTTTACTTGTGTTTACTGCTTTCTTCCTCCCCCACCACCATCCCCTCAAACCCGCCCCCTTCCCCTTACCTTTGACCATTCACCCCTTCCCCTACAGCAAAACCAGCCACCTCCCCTCTCAGGCCCGCCGATTCACCCTTCCCAGCCCTTGCCGCCGGCTGTGCTAGCCGCCGGCTCAGGCCAGCCCACCGTCCAGGAACCCAGCCCCCTTCTCCCTGTGAGAAATCCCGCCGGCCCTCCTGTTGGATTTTAAATTTCAAAACTGAAATCCCTCATTAACTCTTTCCTAATTTACTTCACCACAAATAGGAAAGGGATTTAATTGAGGCCCAATCTATTTTGAATTCAAATTCAATTCCCTTTCTTCTCACCCCTCATTTGGAAACATTCCCTAATTAAATTAAATCTGAAATTTAAATCATATTTGATTTAAACTCCTTGGCCCCACCAATTAATCACAATTCCCTTTCTTTTCTCCTTGAATGGCCGTCCACCCCTCTTAGTGTTTCTCTCTCTACTTGCCACATAAGCACCCACTAATTCCCTCTTAATTCTCCCCTAATAACCGCCCCTCTTTAACATAAAAATTATGGGGATTTCTATTACAATTAATCTCTCCCTCCAACCAAAGAAAATCTGAAATTCAAATTCAAATTTTCTCTTGGTCTTCCCCTAGCTCACGGCTCAACTCTCCTTCCCTTGTCTTCTTCCCGCCCTTCCTCAATGCTGAATGGCGGATCCGGAGCTTGAGTGGGGATTAGTATTCCACGCTGACGGGAACATTGATATCCTACGATCTCCGTGCTTTGACGTAGGATTTGAAGACGACGCCACAATTGAAGAGTACTTGGAGTGAGTCGTCCCGATTCTCGCGAGCATCTTCGACCGACAGTTTCGTGACTACACATGGACGATCATCGGACGCCATCCACCACCACCTCCTCCGACGACTACCTCTCCGGTAACGAAGTCTTTCGTCTCCTTTTCCGTAGTGGTGCTCTCCATCTTCGTGTGGTTCTTTTTTTTCTCCGCTAAAGCCCAAGAGTGAACGAGAGAGAGGGTACTCAAGGTGAAATTCTTCATTATTAATTGTGGGATTTTTGTTATGAGCAATTAAGTAGATCTTTTATTTTGGGAAGTGTTATGAATTGTTTGGTTATCTCAAAGCAAATCTTCGCCTAAGCTAGTCAATTATCTAGAATGATTTAATCCTTTATTTTATTGGTAACAAAATTTGTTTTGACAACGCTTTGAATAACTTTCATATTATTTTCCAAATGCAATTCCTACATTGATTCATATCAGAAACTCCCGCTGAAATTTCAGGATTTCAGCCGCCAACGGTCCCAAAAACGATGCTCTGATACCAATTTGATAGGAAATACTTAAGTTCGCAAGCAAACCTAACCCAATCGGCGAACAAGCAGCAGCCAAATGGCTGTCCACAGCAGGAAAAACAGCAGAAATCTGCTGTTTAGAGCAGGAAAACAGCACTAGTATAAAAATTTCAGCCAAATTCAAGATGATCAAACCCTAGGACAATCAACTATTTAATGCATACAAAACAAAAGGAATTCCCTAAACAGTCCCAACATTCAAATTCCCTCCTAAAATCCATTCAAAAACCTTCCTAAAACAGTCCCGCAAGATGAGCGGCTCACGCGGCATCCCGCACAGGCGGAGTTCTCTCCGCTGTTTTGCGGTTTCGCCCGTGAATCGGTCCCGCCTGGACCGGTCCAGTGGACCGGTCTAACATTGTCCTTGGAAGCAAACAAAAGTTTGAGATTGATTATGCATAAACATTTTCTCCTGTAGTAAAAATGACCATAGTTCGAATGATTATCTCAATTTCTACTCTACAAGAATCCTCAATTCACCAATGAATGTTAAAAATTCCTTCTTTATGGCAATCTCAATGAAGAAATCAATATGCTTCTTTTCCTCTCTGTTCTCTACGTAAGTATGCAAACTAAAGCATTCCCTCTATGGACTGAAATTGGCTCCTTGTGCATGACTTGACAAATCTCGATCAACCTTAATTACTCTTTTAAGCAGAGCCAAGATGATTCATCATTATTTTTTCTGTAAGATCTCTAGTGGTACCACTCTTCTTCTACTTCATGTTAATGGCATCATCATTATTGGGACAGATTTGACTTTAGTTAGCCATTTCTAAAAACATCTTCATGCCATGTTTCATATAAAAAATCTTTGTGCTCTTACTTTCCTTAGGTTTGGAAAATCACACTAATATCTTTAATACTTTCTTAAATCAACATAAAAATATGAAGGATCTGGTTATTTTGGCTAACCTACAAAATACTTCCTATGTGGACATTCTTTTAAAAGTAAACACGGCATATTATGTTGAGGAAGGTGATTCTCCCTTCTGATCCACTTACATTTAGACAATTGGTAGGCTACATAAACTATTTGATAATTACTAGGTCAAATACTTGCTTCGTTATTAAACAAGCCAAATTGTGCAAAATCCTCATCACTAACTTCTCGTTACAATTCGTCAAATAATTTGATATTTTATTGGGAGATCGAGCTGTGGATTGTTCTTTTAATTTGGCATCCCCTCTATGTTTCTCGGAGATTCTTTGATCTACCAAAAAAGTAAAAAGTAACCCCGCATGTCTAAATATCAAGCGATGTCTATAGCATGTCCAAAGATTATCTAGCTTTCTGGACTTTTATTTGAATTTGGCATTCCTTATAACAATCCCATTCCTCTACAAGCAAATAATATCGATGCCATCCGAATTGATACCAATTTAGTTTATCATGAGCGAAAAAAACATAATGAAGTTGATTATCACTCCATTTGAAAGATTCTCAACACCAAAGTTATTTCTCTTCTTTAGATCTCTACCAACATTCAAATTGCGGACATATCTATAAAGCTAATGACGTGAAAAAGGCATTTGTTCCTTATTAGAAAATTGATGCTTCTTAAAAGACTATAATCAATTTGAAAGAAGATATAAATATAATATACATTAAAACAGGCATTTATTATTGAACTAATTATTGCATTTACATTATAGCTAGAAACATATCTAATTAATTAGTATAAATGTGAATATTCATAGTTTGGGAATATAATAAATTTCTTATTAGAACAAATCTAATTGAACATATTACTCAATTATTGTCTAGTATATTATTCATTATTTTAAATATAATGAGTATAACCCTCTGTTGAGTTTTCTCGGGGAGGAAGGAAGCTTTCTTCAACTTCTTGGATGAGAGGGAGGAGAAAGAGAGAAAGGGAAAGGGAGGGAACATAAATCTGAAATTTTTTTTATTGCTTGACCATCTATGCTATTACAGATTTACAGCCTATAGCCTTTATTTATAGGCAACAAAAAGCAACACCAATGACAATACAAGCCATTCAAGAACCTAAAGAAAGTACAGAAGAAAAGCTACATAATTTTTGGACCAATATCCAACACCCTCTTAAATTGGGCAAGCAATTCATGCAACTTTGTTTGACAAGGAATCCATATAACACTTAGATTTCAATGTTATCTTTCATATTTATAAGTATCTCTTAGTATTCTACTAAATTGAAAATGATTCATAAAGTAGTGCAAATAGAAATTTAGTCTCTACTTTCATGTAAGGAAAAATTGAATCAAAGGTTTGTGTTTGAGCTTTAGCAAATCCTTATCAAAGGCAATACTCAAAATCATTATTTTTCTTAAGATAAAATTTGACTACCTTACAAATGTCCTACTGTTTCGAGTAAATGTTTTGCACTCCTAACATATTTTTGTGCGAGGAGCTCCTGATTCTTTTTTTTTTCCCATTAACTATAGCACTTTCACTAAATCGCCTAAATTATGAGTGTGCTTTGACATCTTCGATAAGATGAATGCAAGAAGAAGATTAACGTAGTTAACCGAACCATTTAAACCAAAACTAGTGTTCTAATCTTAAATAGTAAGCAAGAAGAAGATTAAAATGCACTCACCTCTCAAATATATATAAAGAAGAAAAGTACATACAAATGAATGAATAAACTAAGCCATGGAAAGTAAAGCTTGTAAGGGTGACCTTGTTAATGAAAGCTTCAACTTTCTCTGCATCTATATGAACCTCTTCAGCATCATCTTCCACCTCGGTAGCCAATTTCTTTAGGTCGCTTCCCGCTGGAAGTGCATCGGCCAGGTCAGAAGATGTCTTCTCAGTTGCTTTGGCTACCCTCTTAATGATCTCTACCACATCAATTACTTCCTTTTCCACCTCATCTAAAACAGAGTCCAAACGCTAAATTAATAGAATCTTACTATATACAGCACATAAATGAACTGCACATTCAAATGTATGAGAATCACGTTTTTCTCCACAGATAAGGCCGAAAAAAATTACAAAAAATTTGATTCTTTAACTGCTAAAAGCGGGGGGATCGCTGATTAATACCTTCTATTCTTAGTACCCTCTTGTATAATGGAATCGTCAGGTAGAGTATGCAGCTAAGCACCCATTTAGCCCTGCATCAGATACATTCATTAATAAATAGAAAATAAACCTGCAGATTGTCGAAATGAAAGAAATATAAACTAGGTCATGTAGATACCAGATAGGAGTATTGGCTAGAAGAAGACTCGAAGTTCCAGGTGGAACCGGAACCAGATCGGAGCTCGCACCTCTGAAGCATAAACAAATTAACACAAATGATACTTGCAAATAAACTCAAAATAACTTTGGTACTTTATCTTATCTTTCGCCGGCGATTCGGCTTGGAGAGTCGAGGAAGACTGCATCTTTCTGGCTGCTAGGGCTTGAGTTGCTGCTCAAGTAGGGGGTGGCAGGGCAACCGGCGACACTGCGAGATCAGAGCGGAGAAGGGTAAGGCAAGCAACTACCAGGGTGGAAGACAATTAATGCTTTGATAAGCTTCTAAATATATTTCCAATGGTTTGTCCTAATCAAATATTAAATGTTACAAAATTGTCGGGGAATTTGTACTTTAAAAAAAAAAAAAAAAACGTGATCTAAACTGTTGATGTTTTCCTAAATTTGATAGTCAAATTCCCAAAAAAAAAAATTCAAACACGTAATTGAAATTAATTATTAGAATTTTATGTGAATTATCTTTATGATTATCATTTTTCGTATGCTTTATGTCTCACAATCTTATAATTACCTCTCCTAATACATTTAAGCATGCTGATTGTCAATAAAAATCAAAATAATCTTCGCATGAGATCTTTTTGTCATTTCATGGTTTTTATTTTAAATTATGATATTTTTATAAATATTTTTTTAAGTAAATCCTTAGTTAATGGCATGTCTTAATGCTCACTTTTGTTTATGTACATTAAGGATTTCAGATTAAGTCATGTTAGGCTGTAAATTATTAAAAAGTTTAAGGGGCCTTCACTAAGCCAAATTTATTTAAATATTTTTACTCAAAGAAGAAAGTTAGGATAAGTTAATTAGCTAAACGGGGTAACAACACGTTCAATTGTTAAGTTAACCTAATATATATTTAGATGCTGAAACTAATAAGGTTTTAAAAAAATAATAGAAAAAAATCAATATAGAAATCGGGTCACGGGTCGGGTTTGGGTCCAACTCGGAACTAACCCGAAATTATTCGGGTCAACCCAAACCCAACCCGTTTTTAAAAACGGGTTTATTTTTTTGGACCCGAACCCAACCCACTTCGAGTTCGAGTCAACCTGACCTGACCCATAAGCGGCTGTGACTTCCGCTAGTTCTTGTGCTTATTCAACAAAATATTGTAACCGTCAACGGCCATGCAATGGCACCGTCGAAGCAGCAGCAACGTCACAGCAGTAGACGTGAAGAGACACTCTAGTATGCACGGTTTCTGCTCGTTCAGGCATGCGACGCAGGTTGCAGGTGTTTTTATTGGGTTATTCTTAGTCATTACCAGGTTTTCGATTGGGTTAACCCGAACCTGACCCGATTTTATAATTGGGTCAAAATCTCTAACCCAAATTTGTGTTTGGGTTGACCCAAACATGAAATTTTCTGAACATATTTTCTTGTCATGTTAAATTTTGGAGAGATTATTATGTGCGAACACCGGACACAACTTATTGTCCAGAGGCAAATCTGGTGCAGCCATATCATCGAATACTGAGCAGTACCGAGCTTGATGTCGAACAACAGCGAGCCGCAATATCGAGTACGGAGTGATGTGGCACATTTTCATTGAGGTATGTGCGACGTTCGGCATCCGCACATAATAAATCATCTAAATACACCCTAGGCTTGTAGGTGTTTATCTTTCTTCTTCATTATTTAGCACAAGTGTTTTTCTTCCCTTTTTTCCATTATCATTCATTTGGATTTGTATAATTCCTCTCCTTCATCAACAATTATCATTGATAATTTATCAATGTTTCTAATGGTCAATAGTCAGTGGTGGAGCACAAAACTTTTTATGGGGTACAAACTATCAATTTTAAAAATACATTAATCAATTTTTTTCATTTGGGCTTCGAATTGGCATATACTGTTTAAGAAAAAAAAAATTATAGCGATTAACATATTAATATAAATTACATGCATAACGAAAAAATAATAATCAAGTGCATATGAAAATAAAAATAAATACATTTTAATAGTATAATAATATATAAAAATAAATAGCAATTCAAAGACAAAATTTTTAACTTACTTGAAGAATTAATTAAGATCATTATCTCGATTACTTATACGATTGTAATTTATTGTATTCCCTTCAGTAAAATTATTATCAATTTGAGTTTTAAAGTTAAAGAAAACCACAAATTATATAAACTAAAATTATGAAATAAAATCAGCAACTTACTATAAATGTATATTGATGTTTTGATCAATAGATTTACTTTTACGAATATTTTATTTGTAGAAGAAATTAGATAGCTCTTATTGATATTATTAAAAAATTATGAAAATAGTGGTAATTAATATGTCATTAAAAATTTTATCTAAGTACAATTCATTATGCAATTTTTAGATTTCAAAGGACTTAATTATTTAAGATATAAACGTATGTATAAAATTGACTATAGTATCACACGAATTCTATTTTATTCTCAATAAGATGACTTGGAGATATCACTAATGTTTTGATCTGAGACTAAATGAACCTAAGCCAAGTACTAAAAATATATATATTACAAATTTTATGAATCCATTTGAGAAACAAAATAATATTTGAATTTCATATTCTTATAGGTGAAATGATGAGATGAACCTAACGAACACAAAAACACTCACTTAGAGCTCATTAAGATAGTAAGATATATTAAAATATTGGGTGTTCAAAGGGATAAATTATAATCGTCTAAGGAAGTGTCTTGAATTATGATTGAGAATATAGATGATCAAAGTTCAAAATGCTCATTCAAAAAATGTAAACAAGTAATACGTCTTCACATTCAAAAGAATTTTTTGAAGAAGTTAATTTCTAGATTTTGGGAGTTATAGAGCTCTCTACATGCCATCAATTGATATCAACCATCAATCATTAATGTTTTCATTGGGCAATGCCGGCTTTCACCAACGAGCGACATTTAAGGCTTTGTTTGGGATGGCTTTCGTTCTGCTTCTTAAATCAAGTTTCTAGTACAAAAAAATTAATTTTTGTACTAAAAAGCTGCTTTATGAAGTAGTAAGAAAGCCGTCCCAAACAAAGCCTAAATCTGTAGATTATCATTAGTTGTTACTAATATCCATCATATCATTTGCTCTTATAATCCCACGTTCTTAAGAGAACGAAAAATGCATATCGTTATAATTCTTAACACATAAATTAACGTTATTTTAACTCAGTGATATTTCTTAATTTTTTTTTTCCTTTCCAGCTTTTATTGTAAGAAATATTCTCTCTAATGACTTAATGAGCTGTGAAATACCAATAAACTCATATTCTATTGTTATGAATATTATAACATGTATTTTATTAACCAAAATGTTAAAGTACACATTTAATGTAGCGGAGTATTTAGCGAGAGCGTACTGAGAGGAAGTTTGATAGCTATATTGGTAGTGTCTATATCATTGTTTTGGAAATAAAAAATAAAACAATCAGGTAGAAAATCTCTAAATGGAGAAATTGGGATACTCTTAAAGCATGGATTAAAATTTTGCTTGGCTTGACACTGTTTCATGTATGGAAATTTTTATTTGTCTGGATCATTTTATTTGTGACAGTTGTTGCTGTAAATTTCTAGAGGTGCTCGTAGATGTTGTTGTTGGTTATTGCTTGATGTTTGGTTATGCTATTGGAAGTTGTCAATGGACATCATACAGTCTTTTTGAAATTTACTTCTTCTTGAGGGTTTTGCTACTTGTCACCTTTTCTGTTGTGGCCCATTTCGATCTCTGATGCTATGATATTTTTCGTGCCTTATGTTCTAATATTGTGGTATTTTTTACTGCCTTGGACGATGATGTTATTCCTGTAATTTTATGCTTTTCCCCTCACACGTTTTATTTGACAAGCATGGGAAATTAGTCCTTTCTCGATTTTTGGCAGCATAATTAACATATCCTGAGTCCAAGCATCAGGATTTTTCTCATTTTTTATTCTTTTGAATCAAATTTTCAAGTTACATACTATGATTTAAGAACATTTTGGGCTCACCATCTTGTGCTTAGCTCAATTTTTTGTGTCTGCTCTTAGAATTTTTATTATGTCCGATGTCCTGACGTAACTCTATATTCGGACGTCAATAACATGTCGCCACGTGCTCCTACTCTTTACCGCACGGCCCGACGACCTGAGCCGGATCGGAACCCGGTATTGTTATGTTCGTGTATTGCTAGGTATTGCTCGGTATTACTAGGTATTGCTCGGTATTGCTTGACAACAACGATAAATACAGCTCTATCAAGACCAATACTTAGTAATACCGAGCAATATCTAGCAAAGCCGGAGTATTTCTCGGTATTACTCGGTATTGTTAGGTATTGAAAATTTTTTGGGACATTAATGCGTGGAAATCCACTTCACCGACACTGTTCACACTGCCCGACCACCAACCACTTACTGCCACGTAATATACAACAGCTGCTGCCACTTGCCTCCGAACGCCGACATAGGAGCAGAGTATCTCGGACCTTTTTTTAACTCCCCGCGAAAGGGCTTGCTTACTCTCCACAAAGCTGTCCCTGTATCTGCTTCCGCAATGGCAACCGGCCGTTGGATCCTTTCCGTCGACGCAATAAACGGCACCGGTTGCATCGACGACTGCTACGCCTCCTTCCATCGTCCACCACAACCGTCCTCCTCCTCCAGCCACCGTCTCTTCGCTAACGTCTTCATCGCCGCCGTCTGCACGGCCGCCGCAGCGTTCTTCCTCGTCCTCACTTACTACACCGTTCTCGTTAGCCGCCGCCGGGTCGACCGTGTTGCCTCCGGCGACGACCTCCCCTTAGAGGCTGACGGTTCCGAGGCAGATTACCACGTGTGGCGCATTCGCACCGTCGGACTCGATGAGTCTACCATCATCTCCATTCCCACGAAGCCGTACATCACCGGTGGAGGCGGCGGCACGGCCGACTGCTCCGTGTGTCTTGGCGAGTTTCATGACGGCGACCTCGTTCGTCTCCTACCCGCCTGCGACCACTCTTTCCACGTCTCCTGTATCGACACGTGGCTTCGGGCCCACATTAACTGCCCTCTTTGCCGGGCTCACGTCATCGTCCCCGCCGATTCCGGTGGTGGTGGTTCGGCCACTATGCATCCAGACGGGAATCCCCTTATAACTGACCGAAGGGTTTCGGGGGACTTGGAAGATGATAGTGAAGGAGAAATCAGAGTTGAAACTGTCACTGATTCCACTATGGACTGCCCCGAGAACTCTATCCTTCGGGCTTTAACTAATGTGCCTGGAAATAAGTTGCAGCTGGTGTTGCGGTCAAACTCCATTGATTCGTTGACGCGACGTGATCTATTAATCAGTCTAGATAGAGAATTGAACTGCTTGGAGGAGAGGAAGGAGCAGGAACATTATTTTTCCGATGAAGATGGTGGTAATGAGAAGAAGGGTAAACAGGGTAGCAGTTCCATAGGGGATTGCCAGCAAAAGTGTTCATCTGAAATTGGAGGAGGATCTACGTCTGGGAGTGGGAGAATGTTCTTCTTATCGATATATGGGCGGGCTCGTAGCAGCTCGGTTCTTCCACTGTGATAGAGGATTGGTATTTTCTGTTGTTTTTCTGGTGATGAATAATTATACTTCCCAGTGATTGTTATCAAGCTTATAGGAATCGATGTAGAAATTATTAAGTTTAGAAGGTTCACATGACAATTATTTTGATACCAATAGTTTGTGCTCAAAGCTTGAGATTTAGTACCGTTCGGGCTATCTTTGATCGGTCTTCACTTTTCTGGTTTGGATTGGGTAATTTTTTTTAGCAATTGATGACATAGGCCGTTCCTTAACAAAATATAATTTTATTCCATTACTTATCAAGTTACGACTGAATCATCAACATTGTAGCATTTCAGCCAAAAATTGGTGTAGTTGTCAAATTCAGGGGCATCTTTGGTTAAATGTTAAAAGATGATATGTATCAATGAAAAAGAATGATAAAGAAGTTTGAGTTAAGGATCACGAAAGTTGATATTTGTGTTAACACCAACGTGTTCTGCTATGAAGGAAAAAATGTTCTTTGATGAATTTTCTATGTGTGGTCAGTTTGATTTTTAAGTCAAACAGGGTAGTGAGAGGTTAGTACAAAGATGTAACGAAGTTTTTCTACTTGCAATTGATATAAGGTTTCAAAGATTGCATGTCAGAGAAGGCTACAGTGCATGTGATTTCTAATGTTAGAAAACAATGCCTCAGAGAAATTATTCTGTGCGGAGTCCGGACGGAAAGAATCATTCGGATTGTTGCGTATTTACTGAGTATTTGTAAATACTTAGTAAATATGCAGCAAATCAGCAAATACTCACAATTGAGTATTTTGCAGAGTATTTGCATAGTATTTACAAATACGCTATAAATACACAGCGAATAAGCAACAAGTCCAAACGGTTCTCCCTGTTCGGACTCCACGCAGAATAATTTCTCAATGCCTCGAGAGAATGATAACACTTTCATTTGACAATAAGATCGGAACTACTTAGATCATGCCTATCCTTCATTTATACATGGAATTCAGAATGTTAGACTTAGGATATGTACTAATAACTTAATTTCTTTTGAATAATCAACTACTGTACATTTATATTGCCTAATGCTTATTGCTATGTGAATTTACCTTCATGGATGTGCATGAAGCAATCATATATCCTTTTGTTATTGATCATTCATGACTCAACAAGTCTAGCAAGAAGTTTGGATATTTTCTTAAGACAATTGATTGATGATGAAATAATTACGGAATGAAGAAGTGTTATCTTATAATAGGTGAAGAAATGAAATTTTTGTATGGAAGTAGTTCTTATCTTAACATTCCATATATTATGTTGTTTGGCTATAGTATTTATGAATAATTGGCATGCTCTTATTGCATGGAATGCAGCATAGCTTTCAAGTTAAAGTGGTGGTTTAGACTGCTATCAACATTTTCTATACTTGATTAGTTATATATAAACCCAGCCAAGATAAATTTTAAGAAAATTGCTCCTGAGTTGTAGCATTCCTTCTATTTTCTTCAATTTTCATGTTACATAAAGTCACATTTTCACACTTCATGGGGAATAATTTGTTGTGGGCTAGAATATACGCGGTGATAGAGTTAGAAAATTTTCGTCTTAGTATTACACGGATATCCAACACACAAACAGAATGAAAAAGAAACACCAGTATTTTTAAGTGGAAAACCCTGTAAAGGGAAAAACCATGGGGCCACGCCCATTTGATAAGATTCCACTAGTGTTTGCTTAAGTTACAAATGGCTGACTCGTCCCTGAAATTGAGGATGATCATATTACAACTCTCGAGTTGAAATTCAGTTACAAACAGCTGTTGAAATTCCGGCGATGTTGGGTGATCAGGCAGAACTCTTGCGTCACTTGAAAGTCGAGCGGAACTCCGGCATCACTTGGAGTTCGGGAGGAAATCCAGCGTCACTTGAAGGTCGGGAGCAACTCCGGCGCCACTTGGAGTTCGAGCGGAACTCCGGCATCACTTGGAGTTCGGGAGGAACTCCGGCGCTACTTGGAGTTCCCGAAGTTCAGGCGGAACTCCGGCGTCACTTGTAGTTCAGGAGGAACTCCGGCGGTGGTCGAGGAGGAGTTTCTTCCTTCTCTTCTTGCCTCCTTGCTTGATTCCAGCGTCAGTTGGCTGCCGGATGAAAGTCCGGCGGTGGTCGAGGAGGAGCTTCTTCCTTCTCTTCTCTTCTTACTTGGGGTCCCCTTTTAAGAGAAATGAGGGATCTATTTATAATTTTCTGAGAGAGGCATGGTTAGTAAATAGGAGGAAGATCATAGGTGAATTATGAGTGGTTTGAATGGACGGCCGATGTTGAATCTCTTGATTGTTGACCGTTTATCAGGCATTTGAAGGCTCTAATGATATCGAAATTCGACGATCTTGGGCTCGTTGGATTCGTCTCGTCGAGCCGCTCGATTTGACTATAAGCACGTTATATTTGGACACTGTTTGGTAATCCAAATTTTTGATTGAACCTTTCAAATGTGCTTCGAGTCTTTGATTTGGACTCATTTGGGCTTGGATTGAGTTGAATTTGGTGTCGTTGGATTCATATTTCCGAGACGTTCAATTCGACTGTAAGTTTGCTGAAATTGGAGTTCATATGATCTCCAATTTAATTTTTGAAGTTTCTAACATGATTTTTGCCTCGTGATTCATGCCCGATCAAGATAATTTTTCGATGCTATATCAAAACTAATCCTGAATATTATAGAAGAACAAAATTTGATCAAAGTGGAGTATTTTTGAGGACTTGCTATATTGGCATTCCAATCATACTGGACATAATCTTGATGTAATGTATATAGAGAGAAATGCTTTTGAGAATGTGTTTTAAGTTTTTAACAGTTTGATGGCTGCAAAGGATAAAATCAAAGATAATGTGAAAGTTATACTTAACTGGGGGTTGCATAGGAATCTTGTACATGAATTAATAGAGGTTAATGGGAGAAGATTTAAAACAAACAGCTTACGTAGTAACAAAATGATGAAATTGATGATACATGTGCTTTAATTAAAGGATAAAGATTTTCAGATTTACTTTTTTTTAAAATTAGCTAAGTGTGAGAATTTCAATGATTCAAAGTTCCATGCAATGAAATCTTATTATTGCCCTGTGCTTATGCAAATTTTTTTGCTACTTGCATTTCATGACTTACCGTGATCAAAGCAAATTTGTGACATATTAATTGTGTTTAGTCAATTCCTTAAGGACATACGCTAAACCACTATTGATGTTGATTACAAGAAGAAATTGGAGAAGAATATAGATGAAATCATTTGCAAACTTAAGATGATAATGTTAAACCGGTCCATTGGACCGGTCTAGCCGGTCCACATGGGACCGGCTCAGGCGGATAGAGATGGAACTCTTCTGCCTCCCTGTATGCGCCAACTAAGCCCCAAATCCCATGGAGCGATATAGGAAGGATTTTTGTGGGAGTTAGGAGGGAAATTTGAATGTAGGGATTGTTTAGAGATTTCCTTTTAGATTTTATGTATTAAATAGTTTGTTTTCTTAGGGTTAGGGCATCTTAAATTTGGTTGACATTTGAGATCTCTTAGTTTCTTTGGGCTCTAGCGGCATCTAGAAATTTGGGAGAGAAAGTTCCTCATATCGAATAGAAGATCAATTGTATCTTGATATTTTCTGTTTCCCTTTCATCAAATAATACAAATTATCTACTGTTTGGTGGTTTTATGTGAATTTTTCTGAAAAATTCTCGCTGTTTTCCGAAGATTGATAGGAAACTTGAGATCTACAAGTGTTTCCTATGAGATAATTTCTCCGTCATTGTTTTAATCCATTAAGCACTTGTTAGTCTAACTACTTTATAAGATGAGTTTGTTTCCCAATATATCAGTGAATGTAACCCTTTTATAGGTACTAATCATAGACTTATTACTTTATTTGTACTAAAATAATTTATGTTATAAAATAATCATCTGTTTAGTCAATTACATATTTTAGGACTATGAACTACTTAATTGTAAAGATGCATGATAAGTTAGATGTTGAAGGCTCAATCTATGAAGTTCATGTGGTTTTGGAGATCATTATATTTTTTGTGCATATTTTGAGTCAAATGTTGAACCAAGGTGTTATTTATGTTTCAAGAAATGTGGATGATACTTACAGTTTTTAATCATTCTGGTTAAAGTTTAACAAAACATGATTCTCATAGGTGTATTGATGATGATGCATATAAGGCTGCAAGGATCTATGTACTTCTAAATTGCAATGAAATAAACCATTATAAGAGGTGTGATTTTCCTTTTCTAAATGTGGATAGTTCCAATACTAGTTTGACTTATAGATATTATATTGTGCTTATTTTATGCATGAGCTTTGAAGTGAAACATTAAGGAAGCACAACTTGATTGGCTATGAAAAATGAAATTTGTAGATTTGTTATTTGATGTGTTCAGTAGATTAAACTTATATTTGAAAATCTTTACAATGTTAAGAAACTTAAAACTCGGTCTCATTGGATAGAATGGTTGGAAGAAGTACCACAACAGACAAGTTGCTCCTCATATAAAGTAGAAACGTGTGTAGGATTCCTTCCAGTTGGCGAGGCCCGTGACTTGAACTTGGGCACCCTGATTTCTTAGTTCTGCTTGGTTACTCACTCGTTCTTGGTTCCACTTGGGCGCACCAATTCCCTTCAAAAACTCTAATTTAAACTTATGAACCCACTCAGATGCATCTAATTTTTGTTGGCTCTCCTTATTCATTTGGCTACAGGCTTTTCTCAATCCAACCAGCATTTAATTAATTTGGATTTTATCAATCTTGGAAAAAAATTCTAGCACTAAATACCTATCACACCCTAGTTTCAGAAGGTGGTACAACCCGACAATATGGAACGTAATGAAGGGATATGATGATATGTTTTATAATCACCATCACCATCACCAACAACAATAACATCAAGCCTTTATCCCATTACGTGGGGTCGGCTACATGAATCATTTTTCTTCATTACGTATTGTTTTATTTCACCAATAGAAAAAAAAAATATATTGGTAATATAAACATAAACGCAATATCTATCAGAGTAAATAACGGAAGAAAACCAAACTTTATTGCACTATCATAAATGCATATAATGAAAGTTCATGTAGGTTGTTAGACCTTATTGAACTGTCTCAAGGTTAACCAAGAAGGGGGTGAATTGATTATAAAAAAAAAATTCTTGGATTTTCGAAAATCGTTTCTAAAAAATTCAAGCAATGATCCTTGAATATGCAAATGTTTAGATATGATTATCTTAAAAGATTTTTCAATCACAAAACTTTAAAGTGCAGAAAAATAAAATACGAAAAATTTAAAGTGAATAAAAGAACACAAAATTTACAGTGGTTCAGTCCAAACTTGAACTACGTCCACTCCATGGAGACTCTTTCTCCAGGTATTGCACTAAATCAAAGTGCCTCTTTTTTTGCCCCCACAACAAGGCAGAGAAGCTCTTACAAACTCTCTTCCACCAACCCGGTGCGGCAGAGAACCGACACCTTTTACATCATCCAAGTGATGGAAGCGTACCCTCATTTCCTATTTCACCCTCCTGGTAAAGGCAAAGAACCGTCACGTCCTTTTTCACCCTCTTAGTGAAGGCAAAGAACCGTCACATCTTTTTTCATCCTCGTGGTGAAGGCAGAGAACCTCGACACAATGTTGAAAATCTTTTCTCAAAAGATTCCAGAGGAGTTTGGATAGAAATTTGATTAATACAAAGAAAACCTTGTGAATCCCTAACAACTCCCCCTCACTAGATCTCTCACAATCTCTTCTAAACACACACTCAATGAACACTCTCAAGAGAAATTCGCAGCAAAGGTCTGAAGTGTCAATTTTTAAAACTTATTATATAGGAAATACAATAAAAATCATCCAAAAATTGAAAATTTCAAGTGAAACGACTTCAGATCGTGGATCGTCTATACGAACAGCTCAAATAATCTTGATACGAACTTAATTTCATGAACTGTTAGTCGTCTGTACGATCTGACATTATATTGTATGAACAGTTCAAAACTGAATGTGCTCATATGGTACAAACCTTATTTTATACATTGTCAGTCGTCTGTATGAACTAACATCGTACATTTCGAACATTTAATACAAATCACGCTTTATATGGTATGATTGTGGATGAACCTAATTTCGTATTCTGTTAGTCGTTTGTACGAACTAACATCGTATTGTACGAACATTTCAAAAGTGCAAGCCATGATTTGATTAACTGCATTTTGAAGGAAAAAAAACATGACAAATCGTACAATACGATTAATTTTAAAATTTTAAGTTTCGACTCTCTCCCATTGTGTGTATGCACGGTTACTGAATTACAATCACACTCTCTCATACTTAAAAAAATTAAAAATAAAGATTTACAGACTTTATTATAAGAAATTCTACTATACTCTATCTTGAAGTCTTCAGAAATTTGGAGTATGATTTTTCTGAAATATTAAAACATACAAACAACAAACAAAAAATGTCCAGTACATGCTTGGAGAAATAATAAAATTAACAGAACAATAATATTTTACTATCATCAAAAATCATAATCTCAATCTAGATTCCTGAGTTGCAACATATAGCAATACATCGTCCAACGTAACTAGTACATGCAAGAAAAATAAGTAAATACCTATCACACCCTAGTTTCAGAAGGTGGTACAACCCGACAATATGGAACGTAATGAAGGGATATGATGATATGTTTTATAATCACCATCACCATCACCAACAACAATAACATCAAGCCTTTATCCCATTACGTGGGGTCGGCTACATGAATCATTTTTCTTCACGGGTTAACCCTTTGACCCGAAATTGACCCGAAAGTGACCCGAAAACCCGATTTTGACTCGGCAACCCGAATGAAACCACTCAACTCTTAAAATTAAACATACAAACAATCTATAATAACTATAAAAAGATATTACTATAAATTACAACTGGTAGATCTATTCATGTGTTGATTACCCACTAGGCACTCCAGCAGAGCATGCTATAAAAAGAGGCAACAACGAGTGAGTTTAATAAATCAAATCAAACAAGTAACTCTTATCTACTAAAGCATAAACAACAAAGGAATAGGGCGTGCATATGACCAATTTAAAAGTAGGAGTGACACTAGACAACCAATATATCAAAATAATAATGTTACATGTCATGATTCCTACAAAGGCTATGTTGTTGTTGCAAATATGCATGTCAACTTATGTCTAATGCAATATCAATTAATTTATGCACATATAATCACGCTACGCATCATCATACCTCTATATGACCCATCAGTCATTGAGTAGGTTCAACTCATGTCTATATATATATATATAGTCAGTTTTACAAGCACCCTACTAGGAAGGTAAACACCAACTCAAAGAAATCTACTGATTTCTCATAGAGTCAACATTTGAACCCGTTGGCTTGGCTAGCCAATATTCAGTAGGGTTCTACTGGGTTATATATAAGTATACGATGCCTATTGCTTTTACAAATAAGTTACAACATGTATTATATAAGTCACCATGGTTATTTTAACCAATATGATTTACAACATGAGTATCATGTGTTGTATTTAGTGTAACTTATATGCATGAATTAAATTCTCTACAACAAACAATTCATTAATAGATACGGGCTCATACAACAATAAACTAAGATGAGGTTGCATCTATTATATGATACCTTCATTATGAGCAGTAATAAAATCTATAGCATATGCAAACAAATGAAGTTAGAAGCAAGACTGACAACTATAATATCAAGGAACTTATAAACATACCCTAACAAGTATCCCTTAATAAATAACAGTTGCTACTGTGGTCATCATGAAATTCAAATTTGGTTGCTGATTGCACTCTTCTACCAAACAAAAATCCTACAAGAAATGAAACCAAATAGTTATAAATATGAATTCAAGCATTTAACATTGTTATCCATATCGATCTAAGCTATGCTGCCAACTCTAAGTTTAGCTATGACAAATACATAACCTATCTTGAGGTCTAACTAATTATATCAATTGGACTGTAAAATAGAAGATCCATCGCAAATAAAAAATCAGATTTATAATATGGTTACATCATGTTATCAAAATATGAGTTATAATTACCTAAACTAAATAATAATTAATTAACTTAAGCCTTTCAACAAGATCGTGGAAGAAAGTAGATGTGAGAAAAATCAATATGCTTATAGGAAGAGTATATTCCTTGTTGTTGTCTTCAGTTATGGAGCATAAGTTGCGGCGTGATACTAATGTTTCTCAAAATCAATTTGGATTCATGCCGGGTAGGTCGACTATGGAAGTCATACATTTATTAAGAGGTTTGATGGAGAAATATAGAGAAAATAAGGAGGATCTACATATGATATTTATTGATTTAGAAAAAGCATATGATAAAGTTCCAAGAGAAGTGCTATGGAGAGTTCTTGAAAAGAAAGGAGTCAATAATGCCTATATTCAAAGGTTGGCGGTGGTGGGGGTGCCGGCAGTGGTCAGCGGTAGTGACTGGAGGCCGGCAGTGGGTGGCGGAGGTGGTAGTTGGCTGCAGGTGGCGGTGGCAGGCAGCGGGCGGAGTGCGGGCTGGTGGCAAGCAATAATAAGGACAATTATTTTATGTTGTATTTGAAATTTACTTTAGGGTTTAGGGGAGTAGAGGTATTAGATTTGACTTGTGTTAAGAAAGGTAGGGGTCGACCTAAAAAGACTTGGTTAGAAAATATTAGGAATGACCTTTCTTTATTAGATTTAAACGAGAATTTGACTTTTAATAGGACACAATGGAGAAAAAGGATTCATGTAGCCGACCCCACGTAGTGGGATAAAGGCTTGATGTTGTTGTTGTTGTTGTTGTCTTCCGTTAAAGGAGAAAGGAGGAAGACTCTTGAGATACCTTCGTTCCAACAAAAAAAAGGAAAAGAAAGGTTGTGAAGGAGTATGTCAAAAGAGGATGAAAGTAGAGGATCTTCTCTGACCGTGACAACAAGAGACAGAGCTGAAGAGAAAAGAGAAGGGAGAAGTTTAGTGGCTAGAGCTTCAGAAGAAGGGAGAAGGTGCTCGACATTTGTGAGGAGTACAATAACAATAGAAGCATTAGAACAATGCCTGAAATTCGTTTCCTTAAATCAGCTTGTGTTGAAGGTTGGAGAATCATGTAAGCTGTGAAAAATCGCATCATTCAGGCAATTGGAGAAAGAGAGATACGAGCATGAGGTGTCACATGCTGGCTGTCGCGTGTAAAGGTGATAGGTGTTCGCTCAGTTCGTTCCGCAGATAATGCCTAGATCGGTTCAGTCCAAGTTAAGTTATTATAATACCTAGCATATTACATTAACCTTTTGAGAAATTTTGAGCTAAACATATTGATTTGATCTAAAGGATATCTAATGTTGAGGATTTGAGGCTAAACACTTCAAGGACTTGTGGATGAAATAAACATGCAGCTCATTTTGATCTATTTGATGGGAGCTTTGGTTACCAACAAAGAGATCTTGGGTTCGAAACTTACGTATGTTATATGTGTGTGAGTTTGCCTTAATTGGCCTAAATTTCCCCAAAAAAACAAGCAAGAAGGATGACTTAAGGCGTTGATGACGACAATGGAGGTGCTTGAGTGCTCGAACTTTTAGGTGTGGGTAAACCTTGGAGTCATCGTCAATCAAGAGGAGGTAGAACTTTAGGCATCACCGATGATTTATAGTCCCTTCAAGGAAGGCTATGATGGCGACAGTTGGAGTATCTCAGGAGCTCAGTCTTAGATCCATGGTTAACTTGAATGTGAGATGAAACAATAGGACACAATGGAGAAAAAGGATTCATGTAGCCGACCCCACGTAGTGGGATAAAGGCTTGATGTTGTTGTTGTTGTTGTTGTTGTTGGGGGGTGGGGAATTTAAGGCGAAGCCTGTATATTAAAAAGAACTTGTTATAATATTATATCCAAAAATAAAAACAAAAAATACAACAAAAAAACCTGAAACATGGAACTGACGAAAAGAAACCCAACCTCAATCTCCAAGCAGCACAAAAAGAAAGGGGAGAGAAGCGGGACAAAAGAGGGCTCAGGAAAAGTAGCCAACATCCAACAATCGAGATTCAGAAAAAACCATCAGGAATAATGAGCCAAGATTGCCACAGGGCCAGCCATAGAAGAATTGGTTGGCACGAGGACCAAACCCTAAAGCTCCAAATTGATCGCCAAGCTGGACAAAACACCCAACAACCGAAATCCAAAAGAAAGAGGTAAAAGTAGTTGGCTACTGCCTACATACATCATCATCCCAACATCAAACAAAGCCACAAGAAGTGAAAATCAGCCCAGAAAAATCAAGGAAGATAGCCGAAAATAGAGGGGAATTTTTCCTTGAGATTGTAAGAATTCTTCCATTTCCTTGTTTTTATCTTAATAGCATTCTTGATGGTAGCTTGAATGGAGGCAGGGCTAGTCCAAGAACCAGACAACCATCTATTGTTTCTTTCCCTCTAAAGATAATAAATGGCACAGCATTAAACAACGGCATGCTATCCAAAAATTCAAAAACTTGATGAAGGTTCGGCCTAAACTTATGAACTATTGGCTATTGCTCATTTTGTGGAAGAACTTCAGGCGGCATCAATGATCTTTGGTCCGATTTGAGGAAATGGTCCAAAGGCCAGAGCTTTATGAATTGTGATTCATGATGTGAGGAGAACGATGATGCAAGCATAAATAAAATTATTTGATTTATTTGCAGTCAAAGTTGAGGTTTTATGCTATTTCAAGTACATTGAAATTTTACTTTTGCACCTATTTTGCTTTGCAAAAGCACCCTAGAAGGACAAAACCTGGCAGATTTTTTTTTTTTTTTTAATCTATAATTCGTACAATCTTGTTCATCACCTTTATTCTTAAAAATATGAATTAACACACTCATTCTCCACTCATCTGACATCTTTTTAGTCTTCAAAAAGTATTAAAAAGTTTAGTAAGCCATGAAAAAGAACTTGAAACCAAATTTCTTTCCAACATAGCTGTTTTAATTGGGATTTCCAAATAGTTTACAAAATTCCTTGTTTAGCTTGTTGCCTCGTCTTTGTTTCTCTGATTGAAATTTCCTTTTCAGCTGGCTCTTGATTGGATTTTTTTAGAGCGGGATGCATCAGGCACAAAAAATGATTGCCCTTTTCCTACTTGTACTGATAGGTAGTCCCTTGCCAACTCGGGTTTCTTGTATTTTTTTTTTTAATTTAATGTTAACAGATGAAATTATTTTTCCCGATTCAATCCGTGCTGCTTTAGGTTTATTTGATTGGATTCGTTTTTTACAATGACAGAACACAGAAATTTCTAGAAATCATGGCATATCTTTTTGTTCTCCATCCTATTGTTATTATGAAAAATGCGGCTGAGTCATTATTTGCCTGAGGTGCTTTTAGCTTTGATGATTTCAGAGCAAAATGGGCTGCCTTAGTTACACATTTGAACTGAACTGTTTAGTTGTTGGTTTTCAAAACAAAAAGCTTATATTCTTACCTAGTTTGGTTGTGAGAGTTTAACATAAAATTTGATGACAAGAAGAACTTCAGTCAGGATATCTTGATATATTTTGTATCAAGAGAACCCTAATTTTATTACACATGCCTATAATTTCACTTGTCATACAGTATCCTTTTTTTTACAAGCACCCGAGCTTCCAGTTTAGTTGTTAGAATTATGCAATTGAATTGGGGAAAAATAAGGCTGATAACAAAGATTGTATGACGGTGAAAAAAAAAAAGGATCGTTGGCAAAGAATGGTAGCTAATATTGAAGAAGAAGGTTTTTATTTGGGGAAGAAGCGATAATGTCTTATCACCAAAATTTTCTCAGTAATATTTGCCATCGGCTAAGGATTCTTTTGTGTGAATGAAATCATTTTTTCAGTCAAAAGTTTATACCATGAAAATTCAATAATCCACTTATGAATTTTCATCCATATCCCCTTAAAGCAATGAAATTCATGTTTAAGCTGTATAGGTGATTCTATAGATTTGTCTTCTTTATCTGTATTTTTGTCTTTATTTTGAATGAATGTCTTAAATTCGTATATTTATCTTTATTGTAGATAGTTCTCCCAAAAGGGCTTAATCTTAAACTCCAAAAATTGGTTAGTCATTAACCTAATGGTGTATTAAAAAACAATCAAATTAAACTCTTCAGCTACTGTACGCTATTTGCATGAAGCCAGAATCGCTAGTAATTGCCGCTCAGCCATACGGCGATGAATTCATTCCTGGGCCTTGTACACACCGCCCGTCACACTATGGGAGCTAGCCATGCCCGAAGTCATTACCTTAACCACAAGGAGGGGGATGCCGAAGGCAGGGCTAGTGACTGGAGTGAAGTCGTAACAAGGTAGTCGTAATGGAAGGTGCGACTGGATCACCTCCTTTTCAAGGAGAGCTAATGCTTATGCTTGTTGGGTATTTTGGTTTGACACTACTTGACACCCAAAAAGAAGCGAACTACGTCTCAACTAAGCTTGGACATGAAAGTCTTCTTTCGTTTTTAGACTGTGACATCAATTGTTTTACACTGTACACCTCATTGTATATAAATGTTGTTTAACCTGATGTTATACGCTATACATCTGCTATTGTATGCAATAGCTATTTAATCTGCAACGCACACTAAACTTCTGTATGTATTAAATAAACCTGGTGTTATACAACATATATTCATCTGCTGCGGTACATTATACCGAGTCAAGGCATTTTTACTATATAAATCATTAGAGTAAAAACAATCAAATTTCAGATTATAATAGTTGTTGCACAATATACAGACATCAGCTATTGTATAATATAAACCTGCTGTTACACAATTGTTGCACAATATATATACTAGGGTTGTCAAAATCGGGTCACGAGTTAGGTTCGGGTAGTCTAACCCGAAACTGATCCGACAATGTTCGACTCGACCCATTTTTTTTGCAAACTGGTCAGTTTTCGGACCCGAACCCGGGGTCTGGGTCAACCCAAACCTGACCCGCTTCGGGTATGTTTTACTAAATTTTTTTTATTTAATTCAATTTATTTAAACCTAAATCAAATTAAGGTAAGATTTATTTCAACCAATTTAAAATAAATCAAGCTTAATTTAATTTGAGCAACAAGGTTTATTATTTTTTAGAAATATCATTTACTTATTTCATAACAATCTTTTAAAACCCTCCTAAATTAATTAAAAAACGGGTCAAATTGGGTTGATTTTGGATTTCGGGGTCAACCCGAATCCGACCCGGTTCAGGTTCGGATCGGATCCAATATTGACACCCCTAGTATATACTAATATAACTACTGCACAACAAAACAATCCTCCTGCTACATTAACGTATATTCATTCACATATTCAGAACTATTGGAGTTAAACTACAGGAGCACTGTAGATCAAAGAGTATATATTTATTTGATTATATTGTTTAGGATACTCTTATCTATGCTTCCTGCACCCCAATGGAGTCCTAGGATTATAAACTTGTCCTTGAAACTTTCCAATGAAAAAGAAAAAGGTCGCAAATTTAATTGTAAGATTGTAAGGGAAGGTTTCTTGAGTATAACCTACCTGCTGCTAGGGGTGTCAATATTTGACACGACCTGAAAATCCGATCCGAAAATTTTGGGTTAGAGTCAACTCGAACCCGAAACGGGTCGAGTTCGGGTTCAGCATTTCGACCCGTTTCAAAAATTGGGTCTGGTTCGGGTTAACCCTTTGACCCGAAATTGACCCGAAAGTGACCCGAAAACCTGATTTTGACCCGGCAACTCGAGATTGACCCGTTTTTTTACCATAAAAGAGGAGATTGGCCTGTTTTTGACCTGAAAATTAGCCATTCTTTTGTTGGAAACGGGTCATTCGGGTCATGTCGGATTGACTCGGACCCGAAGCGGGTCGGGTTCGGGTATGGAAAATTGACCCATTTTTTTAAAACGGGTCATGTTCGGGTTGACCCGAATAGTGCCAGATCAGTTTCGAATTCGACCCGAACCCGACCTGTGACCCGAAATTGACACCCCTACCTGCTGCTACAGCTCCTCTTGATTGTTATCACCTAGCTGCTACTACTGCTTCCTCTTTAATGCTGAGAAGCTCTATTAATTCATGTGAACTTGAGCGTACTTGCTTTTGGAGATAGACCTTTCTCTGGTAGTTTCTCCCAACGAGTAATATGTAATCTTACTTTTATTCTTTAACACCATCAAGCTCAAAATTATATATATTTTAGAATTCTCATATTTGAAGCTTAGAAAATCTCTTTTATATAACATAATTTCATGAATAAGCTCATAGGAGGAAGGTAAAAAGTATAATAATAATAGGGTTTTGATCTCATTATTAATTTTTATTAAATCTAGTATTTTGAAATTAATTTGATTTAAATGCGACTACTAGTTGTATTTTCCTACATGCAAAGTTACATATTATGAATACTTTGTAGGGGCTTTTGGTCTGGTATAAAGACTTTTGTTTGTGTCATGGCTCTAATATGTTTTTTTCAAAGACCTCTAAAAATGCCTTGCCAATCATTAAAAAATTCTTCTTCATCCTTTTTTTATATTATCTATTTACTTATCTTCATTGATATATTTGAACACTCTATGAGTGCTTTCATAAGTTTGCACTAAATCAAAATTTCATGCATCTTTGTTTTACATAAGAAAAAAAAAACTCTTTGAGCAATGAAAGCAATGATCTTCATCTTAATTATGGGCGTTATTTTTCACATTATATACTAATACTATTTTGCAAAATAAGTGAGCCGAAAATTGTCACAAGGTGTCATGAATGATGAATATGATGACATGAAAAATAATACAAATATTAAGAATATATTTTTATAATTGGATATCAATAAAGGCTACACCCACAAGATAGAGGGATGTTTGATTAACTATAAAAAAAGCATAATGGTGCATATAACAATGAACACACAATGGTCTTTCATAAATTCAAAGTACAACCACACTCAATAAAAGAAAATTTCCCCCAAATAAAAACTCTACAAATAAGATTAATTCATACCAAAACTTTTGATACAAACCTTTAAAACTTTAATTTCTCCAAAAAAAAAAATCCTGCCCTTAAACCCTTAAAAATGGCATTTCATTGGAAGTGGGATATTCACCTACAAATCCTAGCAAGAGATCCCCTTCATATGGTTGCACATAGCCCTAGGTTTTCATAGAAATCAAGACATCCAATCTTGTGAATTTCAAAAGCATATGTCTATGTGCACAATTATAGATGCTATCCTCAAGATGATTTTAATTAACATGATCTAAAATATTTGTGTGCACAAATTATAATTTTTTGATATCAAGATCTTCATATGATCAAATAAGAAAAATTCAAGGTATAATAGATCTTCCGAAATGCAATATAAACAAGGTGCAATATGTGCAAACTCAAAGTAAAAAATAAGTCAAATTAACATCCCTTTAAAAAATTATTTATGATGTTGTTGAATGATCACCATACTATTCATTTTTACTGATAGATTGTCTATTCATATAATCACTCAAAACAATTATTAAAATAGATGTTAACTAGTCTATGAGCATAGAACTAATCACTATTACACATTAAATGTTCATATGCCCTGCCAAAATTTTTTTGTAGCTTTTTTATCTCTCTAGAATGACTTCTTGCCAACCTATAAAAAGTTGTGCTAGTTTAGAGATTTAATAGTGATCACAATTGTCATTAAGTATTAGGAGACATTATTGCATACTACGGAATATAATATGATTGCTCACATGAATATAAACTTTTTTGTTAATGAGAAGATCATAATAATTTAAGTCTCTTTCATTTATTTCAAAATATAACAATTAAGCTCTCAAAGAAAAGGAAGATGGAGGCAATGCTTTGTTATCCTAAGTACTCTACATATGATCTAAGCCATGTAAATTGCTCTCCTTCATTTCTTCTATCAATTCTTGAGCCTCTTCATCAATTTGATTGATCAAACGACCAAGCCTGAGACTATAACAATTAAATTCTCCTTCATGTACCCTCTTGTACTTTTATTCCTAATTTAAATTAATGCAAGGTGTGAGTTTCAAGAATATGCTACTGGCAAGAAAATAATCCATATGGAAGAAAAGAAAAAAAGCTTCACTTTTTAAATGATAATTAAAGTTTTTTTTTTATGAGTTACATGTTTACTTGACAAAAATATATACAAAAATGAGATCGAAAAATATATAAAAAATGAGATGGAGACTGCGGCCGGACGGTCGATGGAAGCAATTTCTTCCCTCTCACCCGCTCTCGTATATATATCATATATATATATGTATATATATATACATTCCTAGGGTATTATGTATTTTTTGGTAGTAAAGACCTTGTGCTTGTAGGTTTTTTTACTTTTAATTTTGTAGCTCTTCTGAGCAGTAGGGAGCGCGAGGTCCTTTTAAGAACTGTGTAATTTTTTCCGTTAATCAACGCGTAGGCCCCTCCGTGGATTTTAAACTTAATATATATATAATATATAATATATATATATATTATATATTATTATAATATATATATATATATATATTATATATATATATATATATATATAATAATAATAATTAGGTTACCCAGTTACATGCAAATATTAAACTTTTAGTTTTTTATTTTAAGAATTGAGCATCAAAACATATCTGAACTAAGAAAATCTAGCCAATAATTGACCATCCTAATCGTGTCATATGGCAATTTATTCTGATTTCACAATAACAGTAAGCTAGCTAGTTGAGCTACTAAGGGGCTAATCAGTAGCTCCATCTCATCATCATCTATATATGAACATCCATAGTTCATTGCATGAGCATTTAATTCCAACAATTTCACTTTGACAAAACCTGCAGGCATTCTTTTCAAAATTGCTTGCACAATCGGCAAGGCACTTGTCCCCACTCCAGACTTGGCAGATTTTTTCCTCAACATGATTCCATTCTAAAGATAACATGACAAAAACCTGTTGAACCACAGCAATCTAGGTTAACACAACAAAAGCTGTCAGATGAAATTTTGTTATTCTCTTTGGCTTTGAAGAAAGGAAAATCTTTCATGACTGTAGATTTCCATCATGCAAAATAATTATTAATACTAGTTTTTAGGGTGAATATTACTAGTCTTTTCTAATATATGTGAATGATTTTGCAAATCATTTTTTTCTTTCTTCCTTCCTTGATATTAATTAGCTTTATTTCAGATATTAACTTTTTTCAATTTCTTTGAAATTCATTCTATTTATTCATCAAATTCATTTATTGCTCTTTTAACTTTCATTTACTCTTAGGATATTAAATTTTTGGAGATAAAATTTTCTTTTTGAAAAAAATTCTTCTAATATGAGATGATATATCATCATTAATTTAAATTCTAGATTAAGATTATATTTGGATTTTTTTTTAGGAAATAATTTTGGATTTTTTTTTTTAAATATATGTAATATCTTTTGATTTCTAATACATGATTATTATGAGAGTTTTTATAGTTATAAATGTTTTCATCTATAAATATCAACTTGTGGTGACCTCCTAGGAGAATAACAGTGGAGAAATGAATTATCAATTTTTTCTATTGAATGTTTGATACAGTGATCGGTGGTCTTATAGAAGAATGCAGGGAACAGGTAGTTAGAGATAGCATGATGATTCGATTGTTGGCAGACTGTTGTGAGCAGAGTAGTGGTGATGCATTGTTGAGCTGGCAGGTACACGTTAGTGAGGTATAGCTTGTGTTGCATTGTATGAGGTGTTGACAGGCCCGCTCAAATTAAGTATCCGGTGGTCGGATAGTTAATTTGTCACAAAGTGTGTTGAACCTAGTAACTAAAAGTGGTTTGATTAGAATGTCCGCCGGTTGATCCAATGAGCTGATGTGTAAAACCTCAATTTCTCGTGACTTGATATGATCATTGATGAAGTGATAGTCAATTTCTATGTGCTTAATCATCGCATGGAATACTGGGTTGTTTGCTAGGGACAATGCTAAGACATTATCATAGTGGATTATTGTTGAATTGTATTGGGGGTTGTTGACGAGGAGGAGTTTTGTTCAGCCATATATCGTAGAAGCTCTGATGCCATAAAAGAGCTCATGCATAGATGTTAGAAAGAGCATATAATAACATTGGATAAATGAATTATCAATCTTTTTTACTAAATGTTTGATACAGTGATTGGTAGTCTTATAGAAGAATGCAGGGAACAGGTAGTTAGAGACAGCATGGTGATTCAGTTGCTGGCAGACTGCTGTAGGCAGAGTAGTGGATATGCATTACTTAGCTGGCAGGTACACGTTAGTGAGGTATAGCTTGCATTGCATTGTATGAGGTGTTGACACTAGGAACATTACATTCAACCGGCACCTCACAAAAGAATTAAGATTGAGAGAAATCAATTAAAGTAAATCCTAAAGAAAAGGGAAGGGAGAGGGAGATTTGATTGTTCTTGTTTTAACACTTTAGAGGAGTTCAACCTCGTGTTGCATCTATGATGTTCATCTATTAATAAACATAATTATGTGGTATGATATAAGAGGAGATATTTTAGACTTCATCACTAAGAGGGAGGAAGTGCTTTATTCAATTCTATAATGGGTTGTTATAGATTTTTTCTTTTCTTTGATTTGCATGATTTATCATTGACTACAATAGGTCTTTGCTATTAACATTCAAAATAAATCTTTAAGGGGAATTACCTGCATTTGCCTAAGCACTCATTGTATTTGCCAAGTTCACATTGAATTTGGTTGAGCCTATTTTTATTTTTTTAGTGTAATCTTCAAAATTCTTTTATCATGGTCACATCTTTGACATGAGCATATCACGCTAGCCTTAACCAATGAATCAAGTATCCTATCTTCTCAAGAAATATTAAGCTCAATGTTTTGGCATCTCAATCCCAATATGAGGTCTTCTCAAGAGAGTTCATCTTTGGTTAGGACATTCTAGCTCAGATATTATAGAATTCAATGAATCAAATCCAACATTCAAAAAAATATTTGGTCAATGGAACATCCATTAATTGATAATTATATAAAAGATCTATGTAATCATTAAACAAGACTCATTAATGGAAGTTCGATCATTCAAATTTTGAAATTGTTCATCTTCAATTTGAAAGTAGTGTCATTAGTCATATGAAGATCTATAATACCCATTCTCAAGCTAATTAATGGAATGATACTTTAGATCATTGATATTTTTTTGTATCTTTTAATTCTTTTCATATATATTGAATTTTGAGATTTTGTTAACTTAATTAATTGACCTATTTCAAACTTCTATAGTACCTTACATACCAATGGATTAAAACAATAACATTGCTCTAGCGGATGCATGTCGTTGGAATGAATTACTCTAAAGCTTGTATATATATTTTTCTTTACATTCACTTCTTTCTTTTTAGTATTTGACCCCGCATCTTTATAGACCAACCCCGATCATAAAATATTTTGTCAATCTTGTTAAACCTCTATGTGGAATCAAACATTGTCTTTTCATCTTGGATAAAATCATCCTCTATCATCTTGGATGGAGCGAAGCTTCACCATTCTCATTTGATGTTATATGTAAGAACCCTTTATTATACCAATGTACAAATGGAATATGATAGAAGAAGCTTAGCAATCCAATAACAATCCTCAAGCTAATCCTCCTCCTGTGTTGCTGAGTAACCAACTCCAAATTAGAGCAACCTTGATTGTTGATGGCTATGTCACCCTAGATATGTTAGAGATATTCTTTGAAGCCTTACAACATTAGATTGCAACTGTAATGGGAATGGTTGGATTTGTTTCCCAATACTAACCTCTCTAAATGGCATTTCATTGAACACCTTTAATTAATAACTCCTCGTGCATGAGGAAATTGTGTCATCATCAATGATATTCTTGCATCTTTCTCATCTTTGCAATCCATTGCTTCTCATACTACTACAAACCATAATTTCAATTCTCTCTTTGTTTTGAAATTTTTGGGAGAGATAAATAGAAGACTCTTCTTAAGAGATGTATAACCAATTATATGAGTAATAGGGATACTTTATCCATTGTTGAGTATAACGACGTCGTCTTTACTATCACAATAAAAATGAATCAATAGGTTTTGAAGATTTGAGCTAATGTGATGAGATGTTCCTAAATTAATGATACAACTTAGTCTTGTTTTCTAAGTTGTCATCAGTTATGACAGTGGCTTCAAGTCCAGCGGATATTTGTGGCGGAGGTGTAGATATATAAAATTTAATATGTTTATCTTTGTCACATAATTATCATATGACCAGTTGTTGTCCACAATAGATTTTTTTTTTTTTTTTTGCCTCTAGTTTTTGCTAGAAGAAGGATTATAATTAGATGTATTGGAACTTGATAGATTCTGGTTCGAATCCCCTCTATTTCTGGTTCGAATCCCCTCGGTTGGCAAAACAAGTGTGAACCTGATGCTGGTGGGTGGCCTCGTTAGGTTCCACCGATGAATTAGTTACACCACCAAACGCTTTCTTTAAAATGACAGCGGGAAGATACCCCCGTTCCCAAAATAAAAAAAATAAAAACACTCCCAATTACCACAACAACTTCAGCCACCTCCCAGCAATTTTCTGATCATTCTGTTTTTGATTCTGCACCTCGTTTTAGCAGTATATCCTTTATGTTCTCAAAATTATCGATAGTTTGTTCGTTAGCTATTCTGCAATGTATAAAAGGACAAAAGGGAAAGGAGAAAGTAAGCAAAGAATAGTTTTGCTTGTTTTCTTTTCCTCAGTTCGTTCTGATCTCGTGAGCTCCCATCGAGTAATAGGTTTACACGATATAATTTGAAATGCTGTATTTCTCCATTGAATGTTATCAGATTTATACAACTTGACATTGGAGAGAAATTAGGATACTAAGTACAAAGTACAAAACTATCCTAATAAAGACAATATATCATAATATTTTAGAGATAATCCTTGACTTATTTATTGGTATAGAAATATCGCCTCTAACAGCAAAGCAGCCATTACTGAACGGATGGTGATCAGCAGAAAGAAAACATAGATGGAATCGAAGAGTGCAGATCGACGAGCTTAGAATCCAATTTCCTCAATGATTTTCTCCAGCATCCGATGCACCGAAGACGCGATGTCGTCCACCGAAGCCAGTCCACTGTCCTCTTCCACCTATAAATAAAACATAAAACATTATCATAAACTCTTGTTCTTAGATCTATTTTTCAAATCAAAAGATAAAATATAATAAATTACTTTTTGGATCTACTTTTAACCAAAGTAAAAATTAAATCTTTGAACGTTCAGTACTCTCTCTCTCTCTCACTCTAACAAAATTCTCTTATCATCGGTTTCCATACTAGTTCTTGGGGAGTAAGGCTTCATTAGATGGCTTTTTTATTGCTTCTTAAAACAATTATTTAGTAGAAAAATTTTACTTTTTTATTAATTTTTTTAAGAAACAGTAATAAAGCCGCTCCAAATGAAGGCTAAGTATTATTTCTTAATTTAAAATTTTAAGCTTTTGAGGGATAACCATTGGTATTTTTTACAATAGCATATTCTTGCTAAGACTAGATCAATACTTAGGTTATGTTTCATTTGGGAAACTTTTTCTTATTGATTTGTTATTAAGATTGCAACAATAATTTTTATTTGTTTATAAATTTTAACTGTTTAAAAAATAATTATTTTAGAAATATGCTTTCCACAGTAGCTTAAAAATATATATTTTTTTCTACAGAAATTTTATAATTACCTTTATAAAAAATTCAGCTACATATAATTTTCGCCTTTAAATTTTTATAATTTTTTAAAAATTTATGTGATGCTAGATTAGTTTTGAGAATCAAATATACTGATAGCTGTAAATTATTGCAAATTAAAAAAAAAAAATCTATAATTTCTGTAATAAATTTTGAAAAAATATTTTTTTTTCACAATAATTTTATAATTATATGTTTATAAAAATTATAGGCGCCTAAAAAAAAAACCCTCAAAGAAAAGCATAACTCGGCCAATCATGTTGGCCTTCATTACCTTGAGGCCAAAGAAGTAGAGAACCATTGGCTTGACGGTGGTAACGTTAAGGTGGGTTGCAGTGAGGCGGAGATTCTGGAGGCCGATCACCAGCTTGAGGAGCTGTTTCGGGCGTTGCTTTAATAACAGCTTGAGGTTGGCATGGCTTTCCACCATCGTCACTTCGATGTCGGCCAATGCCGATGGCTTCGCCATGGCGAGTTCTGAAGATTTGATAGTAGTGGAAGCAATGGCTTCAGCGGAGGCAGCTGTGGCTGTTGAGGAAAACTGAGGGAATCTGAAGAAGTTGGCAAGCAGATTAGCGGTAGAGAGATTTTGATCTCTGTTCTCTTCCTGCTGTTGCTTTAGCTGTTTATGGACTTGGAGAGATTGGACGAGGTGTTCCAGCTCCTTTACAAAGTTGATGGCGCCGCCTATGATGGAGGCTTGATCAGCCTGCATGTTTGACAAATTTAAACTTATTATTTGTTTTAAGATAAAATCAAAATATTTTTCACCTTTTGCTCATTAGAAGATGAAAATTATGCACTAAGAGCATTGTAAGGGGATATATGATCGAATGCAAATTAAAATTCGTGAAGATTTATATATCATGTCTTCTTGAGATGTTTAATTTTATTTTTAGAAAAATGATAAAAGTTGCTAACTTTCTTATTTAATTGGACATAGTAAAAAAGCCAGAGATAATTTAACCGTTACATTTTGCATTTTATCTTAATTTTAAAATGGTAAATTTTTTGATACAAATGGATCAAAAAATTATTTAATTTATTTTAGAATGTTGCATTCAATTTTATCTAAATACTAAATAGAAGGATTATTTAAATATTAATGTTATTTAGAATGACCAATAATAATTATATATTTTTATTTATTTTTGGTTTGATACATACAGCCTTGTTTTGAAATCTAATAATTTTGAAAATTATCTTTATACGATATCATCAAAATTAATAGAATTTAAATAGTATTTATATAATTATTTTTAAAAAAATATCACTCCATTAAACATTTAATATCTATATATCATGATATTAATAACTCAAATATGAGCGAATTTGTCATGTATTTGTGTTCGACACATTTGAATTTTATGAGTTCGTGACTGAGTCGTTAGAATTTGTGGACTTTTTACTATATAAAAGAAATATAAAACATTCTACTAATGCCATGTATTTACTGCAAAAAAAAAAATATGGGAGACAATAAGCTATGGAAATTCTGAAGAAAACTTTGTTAATAACAATGTATATTATATAAAAATATTCATAACTGGTATCTCGGCCCCATCCTCACTTCCGGGTTTAGGAGCCACAGCTCTTTTATAAGCCATGGTCGTATATTCAATGGCATGTATTTTTGCTTAGTAAGGCCATCCGCAACCTAATCGTAAGAAAGTGTATGCCGTTTGTCAAACGATTCAATCGAACGTGAAATTTTCCGCTAATCTTTGGGAGTGAACAGTGCGACGACGTCATATTGGCGGCGCACTGTTTATCTATGCAAAAAAAAAAATGCTGACGGGATTTGCCGAAGAATCGTGTGAAATAGGAGAAAGACGGTTCATTTGCAGCGAGATGAAGAAGCACGCGAAAGAGGAGAAGAAATGGACTTCGATTAGAGATGAATTATTGCATTTAGGAATTTTAATGTATTTTGAAGTGTAAAATAGATTTTTCGGTTGAAGATGCCCCAAGTAAGTTAATTTCTGATATCTGGATGATTTTTCCAAATTTTACCTCGTTTTCGAGCAAGAAATTAAACAGGATCCTTAAACTCTTATAAGAAAAGTGATGACAGTGGTGGGATTTAGAGGTGGTTTTCGTTCATAGCTATGCTGGATTTTATAAAAAAATTCTTAAATTTTCTGCAATCGTCATCCCCTAAATTTTGGCCGCCTCTTATTTAAAATCATAACTATTCAACTGAGAGAGAGAGAGACCTTTTGGACGTAGGAGGAAGGCATGAGTGAGCGAAGAACAGCAAGGTAGTCATTCATTTGCTTGCGACGATTGCGTTCGACGGCAATGTGAATCATCCTCTGGTTCTCCACGTCCTCTTTGTTCTTCATACGCTGCCTTCGTCGTCTCTTCCTTTGTCCATAATTAATATTTGATGCTCTTTTCTTGACATCGTCCTTTTGGAGCGTGGCCAGCGCTGCCGAGGCAGCTACCTCCACCTCCGGCGCCGTCGAGGAGCTCACATTCCAGTGCTCCAATCCCTGCCGCATTGAGGAACAAGAAGCCTCCCAGTATAAAGTTTGCTTCTTGTCATCTTCTACCAGCTGATCAGCAAGCTCCCAACCCCATGAGTCTCCTTGGAAGCTATACATCTCCTTCAAGCTGCAGCCGAAGGGGCCATGCGGAAAGACAATTGCATCTAATGCCATGTGTTAGGATTCTCTGTGTTAGCATATATGATAACTTGTTTTTTTGGATTTACTTGTAATTGCTTTGTTTAATTTAGTTTATTACGCCAGGTTTTATTTTTATTTGGGATTTGTTTTAAAAGAAATTAGCTAATTTAGTTGGGATTTCATATTGAGATTAAATTAGGAATTCTAATAAAATGTTTTAAGCTTTTAAATAAAGAATTTAATGTATTTGTATTCTTAAGATGTGCTGAATATCCTATTAGTATACTTTTTTTTTTACAACAGATTTTATATCAGGTAATAAGGGACATGCAACCATAGGCTGAAGGAGGTCAGCACATAAAAATACAAAAGCTTAAAAAATTACAATAAGCGATAGATTACCGAGCAATCTGAAAATAAAAAATAATTCAAAATTAAAGAAAATAATAAAAGGCTCTGAAGCCTATCGGACTCAGAATCTCCACTCAATGTCATGCTTGGACCATCTAGTGGAGGCAAAGAATACAATAACGAGAACTAAATACAAGAGGCACCATTGACTACGCAAATGAAATAACCACCAAAGTTGTCAAAACAAGTCATGACCATCTTGGGGGGCATGCATGAAAACTTGCCTCATTATTGTTTAACACTGAAAAATCGGACCAGCCAAGTAGACACCAATAAAGCTACACTCCACATCCTTGCCACCATTCCATCCGGGGGGAAGGAGGCCCAAGCAAGAAAAGATGAGAAGGAAGAGACTACTCGATCACCGTCGGACTTTCACCTGGTAACCTACCGATGCCGGAGTTTTGCCCGAATGTCATCTAACACAGGAGTTCCGTCCGGCCGCTGACTGACTACGAACTTTTATCAGACGTCGGATCTCTGCTTGTCGCCAGATTTCTACCCGACGCCAGACTTTGACCTGTTACCGAAATTTCGTTGGACTTTTACATGACATCGGAGTTCTGCTCAACCACTGACTGATGTCGGACTTCTACCCGACGCCGGACCTCCGCTCGTTGTCGGATTTCTACCCGACGTCGGACTTCTACTATTCGCTGGACTTTTGCCAGACTTCTACCCAACGTCGTACTTGCACCCGTCGCCAGATTCCTATCCTACATCGGGCTTCCGCTTGTCACTGGATTCCTACCCAATGCCGGACTTCCACCCGGACGTTGGACTTCGACCCATCACCGGAATTCCATCGGACTTCTACCTGAAGCTGGAGTTCTGCCCGGCTACCTGACGTCGGACTTCTACCCGACACTGGACCTCTGCTCGTCGCCGGACTTCTGCCTGTCACCGGACTTCTATCCGACGCCTGACTTTTGTCCATTAACAGACTTCTACCCAACGTCAGACTTGCACCCGTTGTCTGATTCCTATCAACAATTTAAGCTCAGTCTACGGTCCTTTTAGAAAAACTCTTACAAACCAATGAGATTACAGGTCGTGACACCCCCATCAATGACAAGGTTATGCCCGCTCACATACTTGGACTCATCGCTGGCAAGATAAAGCAGGGTTTCCGCCACATCCCAGCCTCGAGCCTCGTATCTTTCATATTCACTTTTTTTTAGGAGGGGCACACACTTATATTACATGAGAAAATAATTACGATTTTATATGGTTGAAATCAAATAAATAAATTATTAATATTATCATATATGCTTGATTAATGAATGACCAAATAATTCAAAATTTTGATGAAATTCAATTCTTAGATATTTCTTATATATGCTATAGATCATAATGAACTATGTAATCTTGAAGTTAAAAATTATATAGAATAATATATTTAAAATTAAAATTTAAAATAAATTGAGAGAGAGGGAGAGAGATCAATCACGTGAAGACGGCAAAGTTATGCTGTCAAAAATTGGAAAGATTATTACATGCAGAGTTCGAATCGGAGCTCTATCAGGTTTTTGTTAGCGTGCATAATAAAAGTGCAGTTATTGTGCACCACTATTTTTTTACTCCTCACACTCATAAAAATCGAACGCAGCTCCGATCCGAACGTCACACATAATTATCCATCCAAAAATTATACTAGATTAGATGATTTAAAAAATTAAGAGTTATACAATAATATCTATATCAATAAATCTTTTTTTTAAGTCGTGTAAGATAATGTCGGTGTTAAATTATATATTTAAAATATGTTGATGAGTAATATTTACGGAAAAAACTAATGAACACTCTTTAATTTATGCTTTGTCTCCATCTGCAGAGTTGTCTTTGGGATTTTTGAGAGAATTAAAAGTAGAATCATAATAATGTATATAAATTTGAAACTTAGGTTTTATTTGGGATGACTTTTTGCTGCTTCTTGAAGCAGCTTTCTAGTATAAAAATTTTAATTTTTATACTAAAAAGCTGTTTCAAGAAACAGTAAAAAAGCCGTCTCAAACGAAGCCTTAATTGCCCTTAATTATAGCCTAAGCTCCTAAATAATAGAGCACAAAGCACTGCATTTTAGTAGAATCTCATTTCTATTGTTTTTTAATCTCCCATGAAGTAGCGATAGGAGAGGTAAGGCCACACAATAATATGTTCATAAAAAGTGGCAAATCAGTGATAATTGAGAAGCCTAACCATAGGGGTCATTTAGGATCATTTTCTTTTCATTTTATTTATAATTTATATAAAATAAAATAATATAATATTTGTACCATAAATAATTTCCATTTTTATTTAAAATTAGATAAAATATTGATGGCAGTCGTAAATGGAGAAATCTGATTGCCGATAGAAAATGAAATCACATATGAAACATCATAAATTTAAATAATGAAGAATCTTATTAAACATTTCAGTATTCATTAGTTCCCTACCAAGTGCATGCAAAGAGGTGACAATTTGTGTGAATCTTGTATACATATCAGAAATGGATTCATTTGGTTTCATGCGAAACAATTCATAGTCATGTAATAAGATATTAAGTCTTAATTGCTTAACCTCATTATTCCCCTCATAAGTTATATAAAGTCTATCCCATATGTTCTTTCCACTTTTGCAAGTGGAAACCCGCATGTAGACTTCGGATTTTAAAGCACAAAAGAAACTATTTAAGCATTTAGCATTTAGTTGTGCTAAGTCACATTCTTCTATTATCCAATCTGCAAAAGGTGTTTCTACCCTAACTCCATCAACTAATCTAGTTGGTTTTGTATAACCTTCTTGGACTAAGATCCACATACGATAATCAAGTGATTGTAAGAAAGTAAACATGCGTGTTTTCCAAAAATCAAAAGGTATATTATCAAACAGTGGAGGTCTAGTAATAGAGTAACCCTCAGGTGTATTTTGATTTCCAAATGTAGCCATCTACGTTAATTAAAAAGTAGTTTAAACTTATGATTTTGAAACGGAGCTCTGATACCACTTGTTGAGTCTAGTAAATAGGTTGTTAGACCTAAGTTAATGTCCCAAAGCTACCAAGAGGGGGGGAGAATTGGTATTTAAAATTTTTCCCTCTTTTGATAAGTTTAACCGAAATTAAATTTTAATGAATTTTTATAAAAAGTTTTTCAACCACAATTTTAAAATATTAAATTAAATGCGGAAAATAAAAAGCAATAAAATAAAAGGACACACGATTTATAGTGGTTCGGTCTAAACCTGACCTACATCCACTCCTCAAAGGCACCCTCTGAGTATTGCACTAATAGCAATAGTGTCACTCCTTTTTCACTCACAGCAAGGCGGAGAAGCATTTACAACCACTCTTTTCACTACTACCCGGTGCGGTAGAGAACCGTCGTCATTTTACACTTTCCCTAATGTTGGTAGAGAACCTTCATCCTTTTACACTTTCCCTAGTGTTGGCAGAGAACCGTCATCTTTTTACACTCTTCTAGTGAGGGAAGATAACCCTTCATCCTTTCACACTCTCCTAGTGTGGGCAGAGAACCCTTCATCTTTTCACACTCTCCTAGTGTGGGCAGAGAACCCTTCGTCTTTTAACACTCTCCTAGTATGGGCAGAGAACCCTTCATCTTTTCACACTCTTCTAGTGTGGGCAGAGAACCCGATCTCCTTGACAGATATTCTCACAAGAAATCTAGAAGGAAGAAAGAAAAGAGTGAAGTAATCCTAAATCACAAGTAGAGATTCTTAGCTTTGAACACCAAGTGAAGCCCTTACGCTCCAGTGGTAGGAATCCTCCTTTGAATGCTCTCTCACACTCTCTCCTTGACTTTTTTTTCAATAGGCACGAAGATCTAATGGCAAAAAGATTGGGTGGCAGTATAATTTGAAGTATATATACAAAAGATAATAAAAGCTGCCCAAAAACTGCAAGTTTACAATTCTGTATGCAGTGGATCGTCTCGTACTATCGTGGATCATCCTGGACAATTTTAATTAAAGTATTGGAAACGATCCTAATGTATATTGGTACAAACTATGTTCGTACACGCTCATCATTCCGTACGAACTATGTTCGTCCTGTACGAAACGGTTATTATATAGGTCGGTTCCCAAAATTCTACAGGACGTAACCAACTGACGTAAGTCGGTTCAGTTCATCCTGGGATGAACAGATTTCATCCTGGGACGAACATATTTCTTCTTGGGATGATTTTATACAGAGCATTTCGTCCAGGGACAAAAATTAATTTCATCCTGTACGATCGCATACAGAGATCTTCGTCCAGGGACAAAAATTAAATTTGTCCTGTACGATCTCATACATAGAGTTTCATCCCGTTACGAACCTTATTTTTCAAATGGACGAACAGTGCAAGTGAGAATCCTGAGAAGTTCGTCCCGGGTTGAATATTAAATTTGTCCTGGACGATTAGGACTTAGAAAATTTTCTCCTCGCATGTTCAATCCATTGCTCTTCTGAGGGTCGTCCTGTACGAACCATGTTCATCCCATACAATCAGTTCACAAAAAATGTCCCCTAAGAGTGTGTGTTGTGATTTTTCACTCAATTTCAATCACTTCCTTTTATTTAAAAAACTTATGATTTACAAATGAATAGTTTGAAGTCTTCATCTCTTGGAGTTGAATTTCCTGAAATGTTAGTACACACTGGAGCAAAAATAAAACTTCCAAAAAGT